ACCAGTGTGCCTCGGGCTGTGATGATGGCGGCGGTGGGGCGTCCCGCGTTGTTTGTGGTGGCCGTCGTGCTGTGCTGCGTGTGTGGCTGCGCAGCGGCTACTACTGAGGGCATCGGTGGGCAGGGAAAGGAGGCAGTGGCACTTGAGCTGGAGAATGCGAGGAAGAAGACGGTTGATGCTCAGAAGGCGGTGAATGACGCCAATAATGCGGTGGTGGCAATCAAGCAAGCAACGGATAAGTTCAAGACTGCGGCAGACAATGCATTGAACAAAGCGACGGAGCTTAATAAGAAAGTGGAGGAAAATAAGGTTGCTCAGCAGGAGAATCCTGCTAAGGTGGCCAGCTTGGCGAATGACATCCTGGGCGCAACTAAGGCGTCTTACGAATCGCTTGGTTCACTCTGTGACAACGTTAGGCAAGCAGTGGAAGCAACGACTAATGCAGAAACGTTATTCATGGCAGCGCAGAAAACGCCTCGCAGCGCAGCGAAGGAAGTGGACGAAGTTATCAGAAAAGCAGAGAACCTCGCAGAGGATGAATTCAAAAAACTATCAGCAGATCTGAAGAAACTCTCAGAGGGCCAAAAATGTTCTGAAGAAGCAAAAAAAGCTGTGACGAAGGAGGTGAACGCTTTTTATGCCATGAAAAGCGCTGAGGAGGGGCTTGATTTTCTCAAAGAGATAACTGCCAAACAAACGTCAATTGAAATCGAGAAACTAAAGACTGCCGCTAAAACAGCTACTGACGTTGCAACGGCTGCAGTAAAAGGCGCGGCAGCGGCTTTGGTTGATGCCATCCAAGCATCTGGACACGCTGATAAAGCCGTTATGAGCGCTAATTCATTGCTGAAGGACATCGACGTTGCATTGCAAGCTGTTACAAAACGAGAGAAGGAGCCTGAGGCTTCACCTTCAGATGCTGATTCTCCGTCACAGGACGAGGCACAGGGCCAGAGTATCCCACAGGAACCACTGAGCAGTACTTCAACTGGTGAGAAGCCTTCCGATCAACAAGAAGCGGGCACCGCGGCGACCGACAAAGAGCAGTCGCCATCAGTACCATCGGAGGAGAAGACAGCCGCAGAATCCCTGGAGAACGCTGCTTCGCAAGCTGCTGATGCGCCACTGACACCTCCCAAGAGCGATAC